TGTTTTTTAAACTTTGGTATTTCATGATTTATCATGTCAGTCTACTTTAAAATTGGTGGTTTCTTACTGAACATATACTCCATTTGAAATTTTTTCTTCAGAATATTTTTCTTAAGTATCTTAAGACACTCACTACCTGTTAGTATGAGGGTACTTCAGAAAGTTCATAGAAAAATTGAATTAAAAGATAATACAATTTTTCCATGAACTTAATTGACGTACACACATATATAAGTGTTACTGTTTAGCGCAGCAGTTCCCAAATTTGAATTAAAAAAATTAAACCACAATCTCAGGATGGAACACAGTCATTGTCAGCATAGTTCTTAAAGCTCCCCAGGCAATTCTAGGTTTGGGAACTATTATCTTAGAGCATCTGGTCACATCCCATAGCAGAGAGGGATTTGTCCAAGGATAGAGAGTGAGTCACATACTAAAGTAGAACTAGAAGTAGCTTGAATGGATAAAACTGTTCTTGGAATTAGATGTGGGTTTAGATTTTGTTTCTATGGAACCTGGTCCAAATAACTGCTAATTCCTGAGACTGTTTCCTATGTGGTGTTGAGGCTTAAGTAAGATGAGAGCATTTTGTAAAATAATACAAGTATAAGGAATTATCTGACATTTCAAATTTCTTGGATTTTTAAGACTTTTTTCATTAAACTTTAGAAAAAACTTACCAGTAATCCTACAACTACTGGTAGTATTTTTGTGCATTTGCACATCGTATGTTTAAGGTGCATTAAGAATTTTCCATATTTTGGGCTGGCCCGGTGGCGCACTGGAGAGTGCGCCGCTTGGGAGCGCGGCGGCGCTCCNAAAAAAAAAGAATTTTCCATATTTTAATAGATGGTCTTTTTGATTTACCGTACATTTTAGTGACTACAGAATAGTAGTCACTATTAGCACTCACTAAATGGGAATTGTAGGATTTTTGAGTACCATACCATTCAAAACAGGAATTATTCAAAACATCAAGGCTGCATGGCAGGTTACTAGCAGAAAGAGGACTAAAACCAGGTTCTTGGCTAAATATACACTTGTTTATAGTGCTCTTCCTTCCCATTACTTAAGCACAGCACAAACTGTAATTAGTTTGAAATGGTTCCTGTCACTAAGAAGTCAAAGGATAGTCATTTAAGGCATTGGTAACTTTATTTGACCTTAAACTGCTTTGTAATCTTTCACAATGTATTACAAAGTTTGGCTAGTTATATTTCATCCACGTTCTAGAAACATTTGTACATTTTCATTTCCTTTCTCTTGATCCTCTCTTCATGTGTTATGGTTGCTTCTAACAACTGCTCATCAATGTGACTCTGTCTGGCAGCTAGGAAAATGGACAACTGACTTAGGGATTAAATTTTGAAGAGATAAAAGTGCAAGAGCAAACATTCAACAATTGTTTTCCCCATTAATGAAGCTTAGACAGACAAAAGGATAGCATGTCACTGTACATCATTCATACTTTATAATNTCAAGCTCCATACCTCTGGCTCTCTGAGTCTAATCTGTCCTCAGGTGGTCCCTGGAAAAGTCAGGGGCTAGATCTCACCTACAGTTCAGTCAATAATTGACGACCTTTACAGATGCAACTGACAAGACACCGAAAACAAAGTCATTCTTGGTAAGACAGTAAAGATGGATAGCACATTCTGGGGCCCCTATCGCATAAAACTTCCTGTTTCCAGAGTACCAATTTGGTAGTNTAATGAAGCTTAGACAGACAAAAGGATAGCATGTCACTGTACATCATTCATACTTTATAATAAATTAATATTCTGTTAAATTATACTGATGCTATTTAACATGGTTTTGTCAAAGTGAATATATACTGTTTCCCTAATCTATAATTATAATTGAAAATGAAAGATGAGGAAAGACCTTGCCTACCTGGGTAAAGCAGATTTGGCTATCAGTGACATCTAGATAACAGGATTATCTTAAATTGATGTAAAGAGTGAACAGGAGTATACTTCAACTAGGCAAATCTGTAAGCAGAATGGCCTTGATAATACATGTTCATTAACTAGTGGCTATTACATGCCAGGTGCTATAGGTTCACCATATTAAATCCGTATAACGGTTCTTGGAGAGATGATTATGCCTACTTTACAGATAAAACAGGCTGATGGAGTAACTTGCCTAAGGTCCACAGCTAGGAAGCGGAATTTGAACCTAGATGCGTCTGGCTCAAGAGCTCCTTCCCTCCCAATGCTCTTGTCAACAGCCTAAATCCATAGTTATTCTGTTGCCATCAAGTGGGAAGGCCTCCCACCCCACCCTACCCCCCCCCCAGGGAAATCTTGCTACCCATTCAGAATCGCATTGTACCTACCTATAATATTTAGCATAGTACATATAAAAAAAATCAACATCTCTGTTGAATATTTATGTAGAGAACAATTAGCAATTATAGTCTCAAGCCTAATTATTTGGGTTTGACTTTTGACTTTCTCCAAAAGCTGGTCTAGAAAGAAAAATGGAAATGTATAAACTTCCTAATCTATTTTTAGCAGTAGGATAAAAAGTCATGTTAAACAACTTGTTAATAACCAGTTTATCTTAACTTGAATTTGTTTTGTCAAAAAAAAAAAAAAAAGATCCTGGAGTCAAGCTATTTTGTAATCCTTTTGACAAGATACTGGTAACTTAGACTAGATAAATTTGATCTAAATGCCTGGAGTGATATGAGGAAGTAGGCTGTCACTTCCTTCCCTTAGAAGTGCTAGAGAAGCAGGCAAGCAAGTTTTCTTCCCTTCCAGCATTAAATGAGAATACCTGTAAGGCACTTAGTATAATAGTGCTTGCCTGGCACCTGGTAAGTGCTCAGTAAATGTTAGCAGTACTTATGATAAACTTACTAGTACCTTCTTTGATCAACAGATACTCAACCTTGAAAATAGCTGCTTTCCATTTTACACCAGCATTTTGAAAAGGGCTGTCTAGATACTAATGGTAATGTAAGCCCTAAAGGTACAAAAAACATGATCAGATTCCGCATTTCTGTTTGTTTCCTGCTATGTCAGGACTCTTCCTAGCAATAGCTCCCCACTGCCTCCACTGTCTTAGAAACAGTCCTAAAACACCTGACCCAGAATCTGATTGTTTTTCAGATTAAGAATCCAGCTTTGGCCTTACTGAAAGCTTTTTCTCCTATCCCAATCTAGGATTTGCCCTAGTCTCTCTTTCCTCAGTTTGTAGCTCTGAACTCCCTTTTTTTTTTTTTTTTTTTTTTTT